AGAAACCCCCACACACAAACAAAAACACACACACATACACAAAAGACATTGGATATACGCGCGCACGCGCGCGTGCACACACACACACACACACACACACACACACACACAAACACACACACACACACACACACACACACACACACACAAACACACACTCACACTCACACATACACTCGTGCCTCTTACATTGACGTGCATTCTTGAAAAGAGGTGGCACCGATGCCATACTATACCATACCACACCATTCCATACCATACCATACCATACCATACCATACCATACCATACCATACCATACCATACCATACCATACCATACCATACCACACCATACCATACCATACCCGCTTCTGTCTTTCTAAATCGGTGGTACACGTTTATATCTTCAAAGATACTTAACGTGCAGTTTAACCACCCTCTGCCTGAAGTGGCCAAGATCTTTTTACTCTACTGGACGTAAGGTTAGAATCTCTTAAGTAAGCCCGCGTTGTCTTCGTCAGGTTAAGTTTGAGAAGCTCTAGAGGTCTCAAGTGGCCCATTGAGCTGAACTCCACAGTTACCCAAGAGTGCTGTAACAATGTGGAATCACCTTTCTAGATGACTTAATCAAACGTCAACCCTTTCACAGCCATGATGTGTGGGTGGTTGGCGGGTGCTCTGGTGTGGTTTACTCCTTCTTTCCTATAAAAAAACTATCGTCTTTCTCTCTCCTCCTCCTTTTTAGGGCTTGTTACTCTCTTGCAATCTTCGGCACTTATATGACCTTATTGTGTTGAAAGTGCGCCAAACTCTTACTAAAACTTTAATAAAAACCCGCCAGGGTTTCTCGCTTAAAGCGATTCTACGTCGCAGCGCGTCTCCCTCAAATCTGAACGTGATCATGCAGCGCTTGATTTCTCGACCGAATCTCCATGCTTTCATCCAATAATCCAAATTTTGTACAATTTTGATGTTACACCTAACGATTTGTTGTACGATCAATAGATCGTCCAGTTTTTGTTATGTGTAATCGGGCCATAAAACGAACTCTTTGTTCCTTCCCAGATGCTCCATCCCTGGTCTGCCAAACGACAGCTACGTGGCTGTGGACGAGGCACACGCCAGCCTCATCAACGTCAGCCTCCCCTGGGACAGCGAGCTGGGCGACAAGGGTGGGTGGTCACAGTGTCTGGTCAGGTCAGTGGACGAGGGCACGGGGGACCAGGTGAACAGAGAGTGCACGGCATGGGTCTACGATGATTCCGTGTTCAGATCCACGGTGGTCAGCAAGGTGGGTTGTCTATCCGTCAGATAAGTTTGTTTTTTTGTTTGTTTGTTATTTGTTTGTTTGTTGTTTTTTGTATTTTATCTTTTCCCACAATTTCGGATCGATTGTAATATACTATTTATATCAAAGTAAACATGTTGACAGCGAAATGGATTCATAGAGTAATAGCTCTTGAACGCTTGAAGGAAATCGCGGACACAATTGTCCGATCAGTAACACACAAAGGGCAATGTTGGTGCATATTTCCACCCACTATTCCTTAAACCCC